CACACACACACACACACACACACACACACACACACACACACACACACACACACACACACACACACACACACACACACACACACACACACACATCTAGATCAGCTTAGTAAAAAAAAATTAGTAGGTCTCAAGGGAGAGATAGTATAATATAGAAATAAGTTGTGGATATAGAAATCAGTTAACCCTAACTCTAACCCTAACCCTAACCCTATCCCTAATTCTAAAATAAAACAAAATTAGCCAAAAATAATAAATAATAAAATAAATAAGAGACAACATTAGTCAATCAGAGCCGTCCCCTAGCGGATCACTATCTCTCCCCTGTGCAAAATTCGAAAAAGATCTCTTTCTTTATAATTATGACATAAATATGACGCTGAATACGTTGTCTTCATGATTGTATTGTGTTCTTATTGGGTTCTTATTGTGTGTTCTTATTGTGTGTGCTGCCATTATTTCTATCCACCACTACAATCGTTCGTATCTTGTGGTATAAGTGTTTAGTGATTTTATTATGTAAAAAAAAGTCCGTTTTACACCCCTTGTTTTATTCCGGTACTGACTATAATAGTCGCTAATAAGCTACATATATAGCAGCGATGCACGACCTGAATGGACCGATAACGAATGAAGTGACGCGTATATCTGCATATGCTACGCGGCGCTGAAGGAGTGCGTATCTTGCGCGATTCCATCGACACCTAATGAAGAGACACCCACGCGCGCGTGTGACTCGTGGACCGTGACAGATGCGTTTGTCACCCGTTAGCATTTCGGTCTCGTCAAGCTGACACGCTAAACGGTGACTGCGTCGCACGATGTGACGAATGAGGAAGGATTTCGGGGTCAACAATGACGTATTTCACCTGTTTTTTTACATTTGTTTAGGGGGTGTTGGTCGGAGTCTACTATTATTGTCAATCATTGTTATTGATAGGTCGTATTTATATCAGCAGCGCAAGGGTGCAGTCTTACTAATCGTTTCGTAGTGCTATACATTATATATTTTAGGAGCATTTCGTTCATAGGTCTTTATTGTCCAGATAAGAATTACTACTTAAACGTAACGGAGTATCCATTGACAAATAGAGGACCATGCAGTGTTATTACAGAGAGTAACTGCATTCAGAAGAAGGCCTTCAATAGTTACAATATAGCGGGGTTTGTAGAATGGCCGCACGGAGAATTTCGGACATCTGCTACAACCAGCAAAATGATTTCGAGTTTTTTTTTATTCGTCGGTATAACGAGCGTGCGATCGGTTACCGTGCTGCGAGTGCAACTAGATCGAAATTTTTGGTCGACTTTTTATATTTCAGCTTTAGGTGCGAGCGCAGTTCGTGCAAGAATGTCGCGACGATGTTTCGAGACTCCAGAAACCACAGCGATACACTTGTACTACGGCTCACGCACGTGACCGTTGTAACTCTCTCTCTCTCTCCTCGCATACTTCTCGCTAACCAAGCATGCTCTGTGTCTGGATGAATATCATGCCGATATCGGGGGGGGGGGCAATGATATCATACCGATATCGGGGGCCAGTGATATCTAACGCGTTTCGTCAATACATCGAGTTTTTTTTTATTATCCCAGATTCGCATGTGCGATATAATTACTGTAAAAAATACGATATAGCTTAGCGCTTCATAAATTCTAATTACGCCGCAGGTGAGATAGCATAATTTGATCAAAAACTAATAATACATGTACGTATATTGTACATAATACATGTATTATTAGCGCTTGATTTAAATCATACACATTTTCGCAGTTATAGTTGTAGATAATCCGTTGGCTACTGTCACTACAACTTTACTCGCGTCTCACGCCATTATCATCAAACCTATATTATCTTATCGTCAAACTTCTATCATCATGTCTTCAAACATATATTATCATATCAACAAAGTTATATCATTACATCATCAAACTTGTATCATCATATCATCAAAGTTATGTCAACATGTCATCAAACTTATGTCATTACATCATCAAACTTATATCATTATATCATCAAACCTATATCAGCATGTCATCAACATATATCATAATTAGCGTGACTACAGCGTGACTAATCATCAACCCCAGCGTCCGATTCGCGTGCTGATGCGAGCGATGATGGGAGGGGGGAAGTGTTTCCTGCGACATCGCGCGGAATCGCTCGTGCACATTATCTGTCGCGCATGCCAACCTGCATCATGATCTTCTATATTGGCACACCTGCGTCTCGCCCTTGATCACGTTCGTTCACCGTCACCAATGACCGACCAGCTATTGCCTCGCGCATTGATTACCTGAGGCGGTCAGGTTTCTGGCCACCCCACGGAGGAAGTACGCAATTTACCTGCACTAGCGAGGCACGTCCGTTTGATTGGTGAGTCACCATCAGCAATCTGCCTAGAGACGTACCTCCGTCATAGGCAGCTATCCCCGGTGCTGATCACCATCTACCTGGGGGCGTACCTTCGGCATAGGCAGCTATCTACATGCTGTGCTGTCTTTACTTGTTTTGCAGTCGCGGCGGTTTCGCACAAGTTGACTAAGCGCTTCGGTGTGCCGATAGAGGCAGAGATCGGCTGCGCTAGTGATGGCGGCAACGCAACGTTCGTCGCCGACCCGTCCGACTGTGCAGTGTTCTACTACTGTGATCATAGCTGGCCACGAATAAGCTTCTGTCCGACAGGTAAAGTCATTAATAAATTCTAAACTCTCTGCTGTTGCAAAACCAGTCGATTTTGCTAATTAACAATTAAAGTCACTGCCCCGAAATACGGTAATTTTGTTGATAACTTGACTCTATTTAACGGTCACGGAAAGCTGGACGTGATTGAAATAACACGAGAAAACGAAGTTAGGAAAGCAAATTCAAGTGATTTATGTACGTGCAGGTACAATTTGGAGCCAGTCTGATCGTCACAATGGAAGATGTGAGCGGCCGGAAAGGGCATATAACGACGCTTGTGGTTTTACGTACAATGCCCCACGTGGCGAGGGCGGTGACATACCAAAGAGTGGTAAGTACTCTAAAACTCGTTCAACCTCTCTTTCAATCGCTCTCCCTCTCTCTCTCTCTTTGCCCTCTATCTCTTAATTCTTAAGTAAAGCTCTAGGTTGATTGTGTCTTCACGCAAGCGAGTCGTAACCGTAACAACTGTTACACGGACCTCATTGTAATAGCGACTGTACCTGCATTTAGGAGCTTGCGATGTCTACTGCCCCGGCACTTACGAGGAGTGCATTGGCTACACGGAGATCTGTGACGGCTTTCAGCAATGCAAGGACGGTAGCGACGAGAGGGGCTGCGGTATGTCTATAGCGATCATTACGTACGTTTAGACGCGCCGAAACTGCGCGCACGCATTCGAGGGACGGTGTTTTATAAATACTACACTCGTGATGTCAATTGACCAATTAAAGTTCGGCGTGTGCTAATATCGGAAAGGTATTGTGTCTGTTTGTGCAATTAGGATTTCTCCCCGCGACCGTTTTCGTTTAATTGCAGCGCAAATTTACCATGTCATGTTTGCGAGCACTCTGTGTTTAACAGACACGACGATGGGCGTGTGATCTGTGCTCGGCTATTATATGTCTTAGTGTACCTTGCATGGCCAGCTCTGAACTCGTTCTGCCAGTTTCTAAAAAACGAAATTGTAAAATTACACCGGCGATTGTCCCGTCGTCGCTTACTATGGATTTCCTACGGATTTTTGTGCGCGATAATAAACATTAATTCGTTTAAATCGTGTGCTATATCCGCCAGCGGCTCCGTGCAACCCCGACGATTGCAAACTGCCCGACTGTCGCTGCTCGGGCACCGACATTCCTGGAGGGCTGCTGCCTAGTGAAATACCACAGATTGTTCTACTGACCTTCGAGGGAGCTGCGCGTATAGAGGACTATCAGCACCTGTACCTGCAGGTGAGAACGTTGATCGCTGATTGCGCGAAATCTTTCTAAAAAAAACTCCTCTCAATGCCAACTCTTCATTGCTAAAAAACTACTCGTGAAATATCTGACAGTGCTCGTTCGATGTTTAGGCAATTGCTTATTGGGAATCACCGCAATTCTTTGAAAGACACTTATAAATGCTCATATAGGCCATATTGCCCAGGGTTAAATTACAAAGAACGTATAGATTATATAAACGAACACAAAATTAATCTCATATGCGGGAAGAGGGTGACTATTGGGTTCAGGAATCACCAGAGAAACCTCGATTTTACGCAATTCTTTAATTGTGAGATGCAGCATGCACACGAGGAGCTCAGATGCACGCAGCATCTGAAAATCACAGCCCCAGTGGCCCAATGGATAAGGCATCGGTCTCCTAAACCGGGGATTGTGGGTTCGAGTCCCACCTGGGGTACACTTTTCAATCATTGGCCGATTAAATTTTACCTTGTCTCTACGTAAAATAGATTCCCATTAGACGGCTAGTATGTAGATGACCAAATCACAGTCCGAGTGGCGGTGATTCGGAACACTAATTTATATGCGGTTCTAGCCAATCAGCGTTCTTATAGGGCATTCTAAAAACGAAGCTGAGTAACGAAGTGCCGCAGGTTCACGCGCGGAAAAAAAACACATAAAACTTCTTGGCTTGCGCGACTTAGCAACGATATCTTAGGAGATGTGATATCTCGCTCAAACGGTTAAGTCAACTGACGTCCTAAGCTAGTTGTCGTGGGTTCGCATCGCAGCCGTCTGTGCTAGAACTTCGCACTAAGAATTACATTTTACCTTAACAACATTAACGGTGGATAAACATCACACTGCTTGCTTATTACTCGTGCATGTACAATATCAGTGACGTAACAGAAAATATCAATAACGTACAATATCAATAACGTACATCGGTCTCCTAATCAAAAATTGATTATTCGGATTCCATCTATGATAAAAGTTCTTTCTTTGACCCATTGAATATTGACCCAACGATATTTAAGATAGGTGGGTTTAAAATTACTTGAATGTATGTCAAACTCCATACAGCCCCAGTGGCCCAATGGATAAGGCATCGGTTTCCTAAACCGGGGATTGTGGGTTCGAGTCCCACCTGGGGTATATTTTCGTTCATTTAGCTGAATTCTAAATGCTTTCCTTAAATTACATCATTGATCAATAGGTATTAAATGAACTACTGCCATGTAACTCTTGCAATCGCCGTAACACCATTTAAGACAGATTGCCATGGAAACACTGGAATTGATGTGAAACAATCACAGCCCTAGTTGCCTAATAGATAAAGTGTGTCTACTGAGTTCATGTCTCACCAGAGTAACATCAACTTTACGCAATTTTTTAATTGTAAGATGCAGCGAAAAGCAGAGATGCACGCACGAGATAAATATTACAGCCCCAGTGGCCCAATGGATAAGGCATCGGTCTCTTAAACCGGGGATTGTTGGTTCGAGTCCTAACCTGGGGTACACTTTCAGGTTTTTTTCGTGTGGTTCATTTGGCTATACCAATGATATAGTACAGTCAGGGCCGGACTAAGCGTGTGGGGGGCCCGGGGCACGCAATTGTGTGGGGGCCCTTATAGTCTGTATTTTTTCTGCACTTTCATGCTTGCAAATTCAGAGAGTATTTCATCGTGTTTCAACGAATTTAAAATGTCACTTTCGATAGCGAGAATACTGAGGTTTACCAGTCTCTGTTGGCTCATCGTGGTTCTCATGTGATTTTTAATCAACTTGAGTTTTGAAAATGACCTTTCACCGCTACAATTCATGACCATCAATGAAAGATAGATTCTCAGAGCAATTTCGGTATTAGGGAAAGTGTCCTTCAGCTGAGCAGCAAAATTCAGTCAGAGAAACAGCATGGGAAACGCATCACTTCAACGTTACATGCTAAGAATTTTGTGGATTACAATTACGACAGTTTTGTAAATTTTAGGATACTCTAAATGTGGGGGGCCCCAAATGTGGGGGGCCCGGGGCACGTGCCCCTGTTGCCCCGCCCTTAATCCGCTAGTGAGTACAGTTATCTGCTGGCATGTAATCTACGCAATCGCATTACTAGTGGACCAACACATACGGCGTCAGGTTTCTGTTACGGGTGGATACATATAAAACTGCTGTCACTAAAATTACAATGCACCGTAAACAATAAATGTTCCATACAAAACTACTGGAATTTAAGTAAAACAACCAGAGCCATAGTGGCCCAGCGGATAGAACATTTCCCAAACAGGGGATGTTGGTTTGGATCATACTTGAGTTATGTTTCAACGATAAATTCTAAAATCTCCCACTAAACATCATTAGTGGCAGACGTATATGGAACTACTGGCACGTAACTTAGAATCATAGCTCTACTGGTACAACACATAATAAAGTTTCGGCTGTCTGCTAATGTGGATATATATAAAACCGATGTCGCTAATAAGATGATAAAGTTTAGTAAAAAAAATTGTTTAACCCAAGTTCTACCTATGCTACAAATTCTTACTCTGCTCAATCTTATATTCCCATATCGATATTTAAGATGAATATGTGTAAAACTACTCACATACAGACCCAGTGGCCCAATGGATAAGGCATCGTGTCCTCACATGGGGTACACTTTTTAATTATTTGGCAGATTTCTGAACCCTTTGCTGAAATACGGTTATGAAACTATTAGAGTGTAGCGCGTGCAATCATATCACTAGTGGACTAAAGGAAAAAGCTTAAGTTGCCTAAACCTGCGCAGCTTTGGCTGCCATCTGTAGTAACTTTGCTTGCTCCTCAAAAAAGCATTTTCCTTGAGAGGCCCATCACTTTTCCATTTTGAGAAAATACTTCGCGATTCTATCAACCGTGGAGCTTAGTGGGGGAAGTTTAATAGCAATTAGATGATCGCATTCCAAAATAAACGCGTTACCATGTGAGTGCAAACCCGTTTGTATACATCTGCCGTTTGCTTTAAGAAATACATGATGCCCATGATAAAATCTACATCCGGCTATTTTAATTGCGTAACTACGTGTTGTTGTTGTTGCCGGCATTTAAGAGCTTCCCTACCTTCTTTCTTTGTCTGATTATATGCTTCGGCAACCGTGGGGTTTTTAGAGTACTTCTACTTCGCGCACATCTTATAACGTTGTGCATAATAGTCTCGACGCGGCAAACCATTTTACTTCGAGTAGGATTTTCACTGGCAATTCTCGTATCCAAGTGACTACGTTAACTGTGATTTTACTGTGACTGTTGTTCGAAATTGATTCCGGCTTATCGTTCGTTTTTGCGCTATATCGTGTTCTCTGAGATTCTCATCGATTCGCGTTCTGTTCCACGGCTATTGAATTGAATATTATCTGAACACGTAAGACTAAAAAAGGTTTTATCGGGGGATGAATTTTCGCCAGATCTAAGCATTATCAAAGATCACTAAGTCTAGCTAACCCGTTTTCGTGCGTCATGTACCACACAATGGCCTCATATACGCCAGCAACACTCATTCGTTAACACGTTTAACGTTGCCTTGTTAACAAGGGATCTATCGCCCCGTGCTGGATTTTTCGCATATTCTCTAATGTTTTACATCAAGTTTCGCATGGAACGTGTTAATAGATCTTCAACAAAATCGGACGCGACAGGCGCCGCGTACCTAGAACCAACGCTAATGGCTGTCCGCTCGGAGCCACATTCTTCGACATTAACCAGTTCACCGAGTTCGTAGTCCTTCAAGGACTATACACCCAGGGTGTCGAAATCGCCTCGTTATCTCTCAGGTACGTTACGTGTATATAGCTGACTCGCATCGAAGAGAAGAAGTAGAGGTGATATTAACTGCTATAGAATGTCTGCCTCCTCTCGTTCATTTCCCAAGTTCAACGACCGCGATGCGAGACATCATCGCTACGGCGTAAATATCTCGGGTAATTAATACAGGGTAATTAATACGGGGTAATTAATACGGGGTAATTAATACGGGGTAATTAATACGGAGTAGTTAATACGGAGCAATTAATACTGGGTAATTAATGCGGGGTAAATAATGCGGGTTGCGCGGCCGCGTGTTTTGCCTCGCAGCCACCAGTCTCCAGCATCCTACTGGCGCGACGCCCCGCAGCACGTGTGGCAGGCAGAGATTGCCGATCACCGCAGCACGATGCAGTCCCTGGCTCGCATCAACCCGGCCGATGTGAAAGGCATGCGCGCACCCTACCTACAGGTACGTACGATGCTTTGCCAACAATCGCATTATCGGGATTACATCGCATCGAGTCTCGTGCGATATATAGTCATACGATAGTATAGTAATAGTAGATGTATAGAGGCATAGTGGACGTATAGAGGCGTAGTAGATGTATAGAGGCATAGTAGATGTATAGAGGCATAGTAGATGTATAGAGGCGTAGTAGATGTATAGAGGCATAGTAGATGTATAGAGGCATAGTAGATGTATAGAGGCATAGTAGATGTATAGAGGCATAGTAGATGTATAGAGGCATAGTAGATGTATAGAGGCATAGTAGATGTATAGAGGCATAGTAGATGTATAGAGGCGTAGTAGATGTATAGAGGCATAGTAGATGTATAGAGGCATAGTAGATGTATAGAGGCATAGTAGACGTATAGATGCATAATCATAGTCTATACTACATATCTCATACGAACTTAGTCTCACGTATCATTTATTGGCATGTTGTATTGTGAGTTATGCTCACAGGTTTTAGGCTTACGGTAGTGTGAGTTGCGGTCGGGCGACTTAAGCATTCGATGAAAAAAATTACTCGAGATGGTCTGGAATATACTGGAATATCATTTCAGTCACTGTGCAATCTGATTACATGGGTTTCGTTTTTCTGCCATAGTATCTTATTTTTATTCGGTTTTGTAACAACACTTTCTAAAACGCGCAACCACTAATAAATATATTCTACTACACTTGTACAGTGGTGGTATGTGTAAACATCGGCGATAAATGACATTACATGGACACGACGCGTTTGTGCACCTCTCATCGTACTCTCTGGGTTTTTTCTCCCTTTTATACTTGCCACCGCAGCTCGGTGGCAACATGCAGTTCGCCATGTTGAAGGACGAGGGATTCCAGTGGGACAATTCGTGGCCGACCCAGCAGATGAATCCGCCAATGTGGCCCTACACTCTCGATTACAGGTACAGCCGCTAGCGCGCATATACACGAGGTTTCATGTCCCTTCAATACATAGCTAGGCTAGCCTGCGGTTACTTGGCAATTTAGGTTTATCAGTCATTTAAAAAAGTTTTCCTCATTTCGTCTGGTGCTCACAAGGACGGTAAACTCTTCGTAAATTGATAGATATATCACAACTTAACCACTTCTCCTATGTTGTTCATCGCCAGTCGTTGTCTGTTAAAGCAGTTACTCCGCCGTCGCTGTTTAATAGTTACGCAAATAGTGGGAATCTTCACTTGTCAGCATCTGAATACTACAATCTCCATCTTACCATGTGTTAAATTTCTACACTAGATCAACTCAGGAATGCGTAGTGCCTCCCTGTCCTACCGCCGCGTTTCCCGGAGTGTGGGAAGTCCCCATGGTCGACTATTTGGATACAAACAATACCGTCTGTGCATCTGTCGACAACTGCTACTTCCCAGAGAACAAGGAGGAGGCTCTCGAACTTCTCAGGTGCTAATATAATGCACGCACTATAACATCTAATAAAATAATTATGTAGTTATAATAACTGTAATTTGTAGAACCATTGTTCTTCTTAAGTTGGCACAACATGAACGACTTTTTCGGGACAATTCGTTTTGACTTTACTTTCTAATTACATAATACTGTTTTTTTCTTCGTGCAGGTCTAATTTCGATAGACACTACCAGAGTAACAGAGCCCCATTCCCCATACATGTGCGTCCACGATGGTTCTATGAAGCGCAATACAACTTGGAGGCTCTTCAAGAATTTATTGATGACATGATAGGTAAAGACATCAATAGTCCTTTTCACCGCGACTTGGTCATTTCTAAGAATCATTCAAAATTAAGGTCATCCCCTCTGACTATAGGGATTAAGCCCGTATTTTACGAACCAGTTAATAGTTATTACAGAATCGCAAGAATGAGAACAGGCCATGCGAGCGACGACCATCATTGTCGCTACTTTTCGTAATATAATATAATATAATATCTACTACTACTACAAATAATAATAATAATAATAATAATAATAATAATAATAATAATAATAATAATAATTCTGGATTGAATCCCTGTTTCCCAGGTTGGGACACGGTCAACCCAGAAGCCACCGGCTAATGCCGTGATCCACTTTGGAAATAATAATAATCATAATAATATCAATGTGTTTGTACACATAGGTAAGGAGGACGTGTGGTTCACGACGATCAGTCAGGCGATCGAATGGATCCGCAACCCGACCCGCTCAAGCCGCGCCGCCGATACCTTCAACTGTGACTTCCTGCGCAGTAGGGAACCGGTGTGCGATCACCCGCGCTTTTGCGCTTACTACAACGTCACCATGCCCCCGAACAGCGCCGAGCACCCCGGCGACCGCTACTTCCACACCTGCGCTGACATCTGCCCTGCGCACTACCCGTATCTGGGAGTCCCTCTCGGACAATAACCGCACCACCCGGTGGCGCCATCTAGCGAATAACACGCGGCGGATAATTATTTAGATTCATATGTACTCGGCGCAGTTGTCCTTATGATAATAATTACGAATCTATAGCTTTTAACACTAGCGATATTCTATGCAGATATTATTATATCGTGTTTATCCGGGGGCGATGCGTACGTATAGTCAAGTTAACAAACGCATTTATCTTGTCCAATCGGTAAACAGCTTATGAGAATTTTACGAAAGTAATCATTAGCGGTGAGAAGCACCAAAGTACATTTATCTACATTCCTACGAGCGTTAATTTGGTATCAGATACTAGAAATTATGCGGCTTAGTAATGTGGGGAATAATGTAAGAAGATAGATAGGTCGAGCATGCTTTCCGTCTGGAGTAAATCTCTATACGATTCCAAATCGGAGCGATTGCCGATAGCGGAAGCAAGCCTGACGTAGTAGACGAAGAGTAAGCGCGTGTAGATTCTCCAATGTGTATATGAACGTTTCATCTCGTTTTTAGCAGCTTATTTTACGCTCAAACTGTAAATAATCTGTAAACCGAATCGGCGTTGAAGCCCGTTTATATAGAAGCAATTAAAAATAACACGGTTGGGTTCGTACTCGATCATAAGTTCAGAAGTTTGCTTAGCACGCTGCTTGCGATGCGGTGATCATCGAGCGCGTGCGGTTCACCAGTTCGACGTATTCACCAGTATTATATATACACTGTCTTAATCCGGATTTATATTATATTCCCAGTTTCACCTGTGATGTTTAACCGTACTAGTGGACTCACAGCGTGTGTGAAGGTTGTATAAACTAACATGGATGCGTGTTTCAATAACCTTTAAGGCTCACGTACAGACGCAATATCGAAAAAATTATTTTTATGTTCCGCAAGTTTCTGACCAGCGCCTGCAGATGTCTCAACACATTCGTGAAAAATTGATTATTGATAGTTATATCAAAATATCATATAACCCTAACGACTGAGTGTGGAATTTGTCAGTATGATTACATTCTCTAAAATGCATGTAAAAATATTGTATCGATCTTGCATCAAAATGGATACGTTCCTGTGCATGCAGCTGGTCCTACATTTTTACTTTATACAAAATTTATACAAAACTTTGTCCCACACAATGAAAAATTCTTTGTTTAAACATTTATACATTTATATACGTTCCGTATTATAACTGTTCTTAATTTTTGTCGCCACCATAACGGAATCCTTTATACCTGCGATACGCAATATTGTCGAACTGTCTAAACGCACTATTTTTACTGTTAATACCGGAGTGTAGACGTATGCCAAGTAACATTTCGTCATACAAACGTTAAATTTGAGGGTACAATTTCGAGAAAAAAAATTAAATGAAAATTTTAAATTATCGGTTTACTTAGAACGTGCGAACGCTAGCAATATTATATATTTATATACATACATATTTATTATTAATTACATCTTTGCTCAAAATGATTTTAGTACAAGATGCAATTTATGTGTAGGATAAGATTTTACTTTAAAAACGAGATAAACTCGCCATAGGCATGTATTTTGTAAAAATTTATTTTTTATACATGTATATGTGTGTGAGCAAGACTGAATAAATGATATTATCAAACTAACTTTGCGTGTATTTGGATCACTTGTGCTATTGCTGAATATCCATAATTACTACATGTTCAGATAGGCGTGTGTCAGACAGACACATCTTTTAATATATAGGAATTAGATTTACCGCATTTAAATTTGTATAAGTTATATCGTCACTCTACATTTAATTTACACTCTACATTATAATTTGCAAGTACCTTACTCGAAATTGCGCTTAGTTACCATTATTATATTGTATGCTAAATACGCGAATTATTATGGTGTTAAATTATTCTGACTTTATCACGACACATTAAGACATTGACTGAATTCTGCTCACTCATCACATGATTAATATTTCAGTTATATTATATCTAATTGAAGGAGATGGGCCGAATAGCGTTATCTATAACACCTCATTTCGTACAACTTTAATATAATTATTTTACCTTCGTTGGTTTCATTGGTCTACAAATCTCAGCGGTCGTTTTAACATTATACATAACTAGCCATACTTTGCTGATAACTATTACGATATGCATCACTATGTTGAGGAGTGCAACACTGCGTGCATAATTTACTATTTGGTAAATTCTCGCGAACTAAAAGATAAACTTGACAAAACCATTATCACTTCACAATATTTATTCAAACATAATTCTAACGTATATTACAACGATCGTCGACGTTTGACGACGCATACAATACTCGCGCTATTTAGTGAGGCATTCACAGTTGATTCATATGACTAAAATCCTATGTACGCTCAACGAATTTCAATAACATTACCACTGAGTCGTCTTTTGTGGTTGGCCCGCGACAACAGGCAATCACCGACATGAAGAATGCCGCGAAAACAAAAACGACGAAGACACATAGAACGGCAGCGAGTCCGTGGGGCGGCAGACACACTTTACTATCATCTTCATCGAACAGAGGTTGCGAGCTCTGCTTCCTCCTCCCCCTGCCGTTGTCTCGCACGAGAATCTGCCCCGTGATCGTAATATTATCGGTAACGTCATCGTCGGCAGCTGGCCGACGTCCGACCTGCCGCCGTCGTCGCCTCGCCGGCTCGCACAGATCGTCGCAGTCGTCGGCGTCGACGCAGGCGTACGCGCTGCACGTGAACTCGACCCGGTCGTCGTCAGCAAACTTGAAGGCGTTGAAGGCGATGTACTTTTCGACGGGCGCGTTGTCGCCGCCGACGCGCTTGCGCAGGCGGCTGCTGCGCACGATGTCGTCGCGCAGCGCCGCGTCGACGCACGAGGCGGCGTCGATCAGCGCCACCTGGCGACCAGTCGCCGGACTGCGCGCGAAGCAGTCGAACACGGCAATGCTCTTGAATACGTCGTCGTTCTCCAGCGCGGCGACGAGCAGCAGGCCGTCGCCGATGCCGACCGCCGTCGCGACGGGCCGCTTGTCGTCGATGTCGTCGCCCCGCCAGACGCGCAGCGTCGCCTCGCACGGTTCCGGCGTCGCGTCGACGACGCTCGTCGACAGTCGGCCGACGTTCACGTCGTCGGCGACGACGGCGATCGCTTCCGGCGGCGCATACGTGCAGGACGTCGACAGCGTGAAGTCGTCGCTCTGCAGTAGGTTTCGTCGCCTGGCGACGATCAGACGGACGCCGAACTGCTTCGGGTCGCTGTGCGGCAGCGCCGACAGTCCGCACGTGTCGTGCGCGACGGACATCGTCACGCTCGCAGATCCGTCGCCGACCGCTCGGCACTCGGCGACGTCGTGGAAACCTTCAGCGAACACCTCGCCGCTAAAGCCGGCAGCGAAGCGGAACGTTGCCGTCAATGCGTCGCCATCGCAGGTGACCTCTTGCGCTAGAATGAGAAAACCGCGACGACGATGATTACGAAAAGAGTAACCTAAATATTGAACGACGAAAAATTGATGTAAGTTAAAAACGAAAAAAATAGATAATAAAATTATTAATAAATAAATGTAATAAAAATTTAATAACATCAATAATGACAGAAAAACGACGAAAGTTGAAACGGAATACAGTAGACGATACCACAGTAACGTTCATGTACGTGATGGCATGTTGACGGTGATAGTAACAGGTAAGCATGAACATATTCACACTATAATTGTGTAACCATATTCATCCATGTATAGATATGTTCATGATACCAGATAATTATATGCGTTCGTTGTAATACGAATAGGGTGTACAAATATACTTACGTGGCTCGAGGATCTCAACGAATCGACCCTCGTGGATGCAGGCACTCAGCACGAGGAGGAATAGCGCCACACTAGGCATCTGTGCAATTTGGTAGTCAGTCGGTTAGTAATGTTTATCATGGAGTAACGCGCGCTTATATACACCGGAGCATGGCACCTCGAGCGCTGGCTAATTAATTATGTGTTCATCGTCCTTTGTTTCGACAGTTCGTCGATTGTTAACCGTCGATTGTTAAACTGCCAGCGCCAGAAAGTCGTTGTTATTGTTGTTGCTGTTGTTGTTGCTATTTGCAAGTAAAGTTCCCAGGTGCTCGCCATCACCGACATTATCGAGTTGACTGGTTTCGGGATAAGTATACCGGTTACTTTAGCTGCAGGCATTTTGCTGCTACCATGCGCAATACAAAACATATCATTGTACACGCGCGACAATACTAGTTGCGGAGTACCTACTTCAACCGACTCTTGTTGATCTATTCATATATAATCTGATCTTGTCAATCTAGTCACCCCGCATGGAACCCCATTTAACGAACCAAAATCATGCGTTCTATTATTTGGGAAACTGGCGCAATCGGTATGCTCATCAAAATCGCTAACAAAACGTCACTAAAACTTGTGATGCCAGGTACGCGTATTAACTCGTGGAAACGGTGCATATGACTAGCAACAACAACAACAACAACAACAACTTTCTGGTTGTAAATGACTACGAATCCGCTCCATTATCAGCAGTACCTACGGTCGGAGGTTAGGGACGTGGAAAATCTTTCAGCATAAGTTACGTCGATCAGTCTGCAACCGACGAGATTGTAAGCAACATTACAATCACCGGACAGATTCTTCTACCACCTAAAAACAAAATAAAACTGTCGAATTAAGACGCTAGCAAGGTGTGCCTGCCGCCCCATGGATGGGCTGCTGTTAACTACGTATTCATCGTATTCGTTTTTGCCACATTATTCCTGTCACCGATTGCCGGGTGCCACGGACAGACTATTAATGTAGTAATATTGTTGTCATCCGCGATTCTACGAGATTATAATTTGTATACGTGAAAACTCTCTGTTATAGTTTTTAAAAGACACTAAAACATTTTTGCCAGACGACATGGGGATGGGCCATCAATTCGTTATTCGAGAAACAATATAGCTATACGCGTCCTTACCTCAACCCTTGACTACAAATTCTCATCAGACAAGAGAAATAGCCACCGGTAGCCTGTCGAAAGTAGATTTCCATGCTGCATGGGAGTCACGGGTGAAGTTGCGCCGATGGTTTTTCTGCTTTTATGGTAAACACTTGTCCTGAAATTCTCCGTATACTTGAGTCAGTGAGATTACGATGCATTCCCGGACAGTAGGCCCAAACAGCTCTGGTAAATGTGCAGGGAAATATAGTCCGCATGAAGTTGATAGAATCACTGCATATACCGGAGCATTCACAGTATATATAAAATGAAAGATGTATTACAGTTATCAAGAGCGTATTAAGTATGTAAACTACTGGATTTAGTAAACTCTGTAGTAATGACGTAATAAGTCAGCGCTACTCAGCGGCGACAGGAAGCAACATACTGTATACTAAACGCGAGAGAGTCGCAGCTAGTTGCCAACTCGAGTTCGATTTTCGCCAAAACACTAGATTTTACCGCTTAATATCTCAGCGTAGGAACACCGTATGGCCAAGCGGTTGCTTTTATATTATCAAGGTAGGACTGCTGAATAATAATAATAATAATACCGCAAGGAATCGTCAAAATAAAACGGGTAAAGTTTACTAATTCCACTGAAACGACAACATGTTTGTTGCATTTTACCGGTGTACGCTCTCATACGCTCTTGCAGTTATCTATGTACTTGCTTGGAACATGTGATGATGTATACCGGTTACCTTAGATTGCCGGATTGGTACTAGCTCCGTGTCACACGCGTTGCATGGAAACCGTGTTATGGAACATTGAGTGAAATGTGTGCCAGAGTAAGTAGTTTCTTTCAGTAGTAAGCATGGATCGCTTATAATTTTGTCGTCACTCATCCGAACGCGTTGCTTTGTTACCAAACGCGATTACAAAATCAGCGAAAGGTATGGTATGTGAAACGGTGTATTAGTTTTCCCATTACAAGCAATGATATCTGACACTATATAAACAGCTATCAGCCGCACACAATTTCGGATTCACTTGAAAATTTCCTGACCCATTACTAGTGATATACGGAGCAACGCAATTCCTCTCACCATGTAAACAGACCAGTTTGATACTTTTGCTAGCAGTTACTGATCTGTAGAATGCATGCATTGCACATGTGGAGACATCGCATTGAGATATCCTAGTTTTCTTTTCAATTTGCCCCACTCGGAATTTTCATTCTAACAGGAACCCCTAGCACATGAAGCTCCTCACCGTCTGTTAAAAGCCGGGCCTTAGTATTACTGGAGACGGGTCCGCCATTTTACGTGGTCATCCGAGCCACGGGAGATTCACAGTCTCCAATGTTGAAAGCCAGGTTTTTACACCTTGATAAAATTTACTGCACAGGCCGGGGGTTTGAACTCACAGCCTTCGGAGTGAGAGGTGGGCAATATACGTCTTATTTAGAACAAGGTCTTCATTGTTATCTTCTAAAGCTACAGACCATCCGCTGACCGCTGTGGAGACGTGCGCCGGGCCTCGAATTTGGCGCACGTCTCCACTGCGGACAGCGCTTCATACTTGAACATCCCCGCGGTCGCGTGAGCATATCCCGCTGAACTGCGCGTCTCATCCGCGCTGCAGCTGACTGATTTGCTTCATGCGTTCCACTCATCATACACTGCACGAGTAACAAGTATT